TCTGCTTCTATCACTGTAACCATCCATTGTCGCAAAGCATAGAATAGCCACTCGTACTGCCTCCAAGACAGCACTCAAAATCATCTTCATCGATGATCTTGACTTCTCAGCCGAGCCCACTAAATCGGCTGTTGAATCTGTCATCTAGACAGTTCTTCATCAATGTGCAGACTTTTCAGACACACCCCCACGGTACTGCCTCTTCGGTACTGCCTCCTCTATGATTTGAGACATACCCCCACGGTACTGCCTCCTCTATGATGCTTCCCCTCCAAAGCAACACACCAAACTAAGTCCATCTAGTTCAGCTCCTCAACCAAATCCCTCAATGATTTGGTTGCCGAATTCTTCACCTCAATCTGTCCTCTTCGTCAAGGTGCCTCGAATTCCCGATACCACAAGTATTAAATTGCAATACTTCATACTTGTCCATTATACAACAATCAACTCTTCCTGCCGAATTCATCTCAGCCTATGCCAGACTGCCGCAATCCATCGTTGTTGAATTCTATGCAGTATGTTTTTCGTTGGCGCATCCTCACACCTAGAGTTAAACCATGATCTCTCCATCATCATAGGTATGAAACTCTCCCATCTTGGTCCCAACATAACTAGAGCCCATCTCTGGCATTGTTCTGTCTTCTTCACCCTGCATTGTCCATCATCCAGGTCTTCATCGAAGACACCAATTCTGCCTCCCCTAAGGTAGTAAAGTCATAAAATCTTGGCAAACTTGTCTTGCCATTCGACCAAGTCTTCATCAACTTCATCACTGGATTTTGCTTCCCACACTCTAACCATTCCTTCGTCAAGATGATGCACAAAAATCCCTAAGTTCTGCCCCTTACAAGGCAACAAGCAGGGCCAGACAGCATCCTCACCGATATGCTGGCCCATGACGACTGAATTCTATCTTGGTCATCAAGCAAACACATAATATTTGCACATGTCACATCCCCAACAACATCTTCCACATTGACAGCATCAAGGTTTCCCTTTGTTGGGCAACCATCCCATACAAAGTAATTTTCCATTGCAAGAGAAAAATAATGTAAATTCAGTTTTGAACCCTTACCACTTTGCCTTCTCGTCTGACCTTCCATCGTTAGCAGCAAATTTAAGCTCTCTCCCACTGAATTGCCCCTTCTATTTCGTCTCACCCTTCCCTTTTAGGTTTCGACAAAAACTTAGAAACTCTCAGCAATCCCATCGCTGGCACTTGTTCTCTAGTCTGCCATTCCATTGACATTTCAATGGCCGAATCAGCATCCACTTTGATCTGATCCCTTGTCATTACTTTGCGTTACCCATAAATTCATTAAGCCACCCAACTCCACAAGTATTTGAACATTAACCCTGCCCAAAACCCGCTCGCAAGTTTTCCTCAAAATGGCTTTAGGCAAATCAGGCCTTCGATCTGCCCCACAGAACCCTTTAGCATCTGTGCTACGAAACAGCCCATCGTTTCGTCATGAACGCGAACTGCGCTCTATCCTCAAGTTTCTACCAGTCCATCAACAGCAGCAATGTTTCTCCCAAATCAGTCTCATCGATTTGTCTAGAGAAACAACAACATTCTCATCGCTGATCATTGCACTGAAATCTGCCTCTCCATCGGCATAAGTTGTAGCCCTCCCAAATCAGTCCGTTGATTTGGCCGCAGAATCATTCTCACTGTTCTGCCAAGAAAGCAACCGTGCTCTGATACCAGTTGTCACGGGGTAATTTTTCACTACGCAAATAAACCCGTGCGGCAGCCTAGTTCCTCGCTAGACTCAGCCTTCCTTCGTCTATCCACTCGTGTTTGCCTATTAACTAAGTGTTTCCCTCACCCGAGAGGTTTCCCCACTTTCCCATGTTAAAGACAAGCGGAATACACAAGTAGAATTGCTCTTAACCAAGCACACTGAGAATACAAGAATACCTCTCAACCTTTATTTATCTCATCAACAAAGGATTACACAACGTGTGCTATGCACAGAATTCACATGCTACACCAACAAGTTTACATACGTTATTTCCTCTCTATGTATTCTATTCTCTATGTATTCTCCCTATACAACAAAGAATTACCATCACCATTTATAGCCAAGTATGTGAGCTGCAGGGCACCTCCGTGATCCCCATATTTCAGGACATAATAGGCACTTACTCCCCTATGATCTCCAAGATCATTTGTGGCTCACCCATATCCCTATTTCCGGGATATAGTGGAGAACTTCCTCCCCCATGTGCTTCATGATTTCAGCAACTTGGAAACACCCCAGTTATGCTCCCACTTTCTGCATGCTTGCCTGACAGCTTCATTTGCCAGCTCTAGCTTCATCTGCTGCTAAATCACCCACATGCCTTGGACAGTCCATCGTCCAAGTTTTAGATCTTGCCAAGTCAAGCCCCTAACTTACGCAAGCTCTTATGCGCTGCCGAGTGCGCACCCTGGGTACCAGTCGCCAAATTCGCATCTGCGTGCAGACCCCTATGTCTGCGCTGCCGAATGCACATCTACGTGCAGGCTGCCCAATCTTACACTGCCCAATTTGCTTCTGCGTACAGGCCCCAAATCCTGCGCTGCCGAATTCACAACTGCGTGCAGGCCCCAATCTTGCATTGCCAAATTCGCTTCTGCGTGCAGGCCCCAATTCCTGCGCTGCCGCATTCGTATCTGCGTGCAGGCTCTAATTCCTTCGCTGCCGCATTCGCATCTGCGTGCAAGCTAGCCAAATCTTGCGCTGCCGAATTCCCATCTGCGCGCAAGCTCCCAGTGTCTGCGCTGCTGAATTCCTTGACAGCCCCAATTCTCGTCCGCCCATATCCCAGACGAGTTTTCCTGTCTAGCTTGGACATTCCATCGCCAAGCCCATAGACCTCACCAATCTATGCTGCCGCATTCCTCGACAGCCCCAGTTCTCGCCAGCCTATGCTCCCGACGAGTTTCCTTGTCTGGCTTGAACATTCCATCGCCAAGCCTATGTTTGTCAACATCCTGCGCTACCCCGCATTTCTCTTTGACAAACTTACAGCCGTATAAATCTGCGCTGCTGATTTATCCCATTATTAACATGGCTGCCAGCACCCTCAGGCCTGATATTGGACAGCATGCCTAGGTGTGCACCGGTGCATATTTAACACTGTAACAAAATGTATCCAGCCTAAACACAAAGACGGGCCTATCCTATCCTATAGGCAGAAGCTACCTATCCGACTAGTAGAAAGCGTGAGGAGGAAGACTTCTATTCGGCCCTCCTGGGCTACGAAACCAGGCTGTGATCCGCATCGAGAAAGAAATGTATCCATGCATCTCTTTAGTTCGAATGCTGGATTTCTTTACTTAGAAATAGAGAATTCTGATTCTAAAATCGATTCTCTCACCAACATATATGCTATACCCAAAGCGCTGAAAAGGGCTGATTCTCGCCATCTAGGAATAAAGAACCGGTATCTTCAATGAAAGCTATCCATCGCTCACCCCCTCTCTCATCATAACCTATTTCAGATGTACCCGTCGCTCCTGGGATTCGACTTTCCTTCTGAGGATGGAGAGAAGGCGTTTTGAGATGGCACCGGGCTCCTGCCTAGCTTCCTGAACCCAATCTGAGCTACCAATGCGAGGTTTGGGAATACTACCTGACGAGTACCCGTTGACTTTCAATGTCGATTTCTACATGTCTACTCCCGCGCATACTCCTTGAATATGAGGCAATGCCAATTGTTGAAATGCCATCAGATGAAGGAAACTCTGTATCTGTAGATCATGTAATTCCTGCGCCTACTAAAGCCAATAAATATACCAAATCTTACTACCGCTAGCTCCATTAAGTCTGCGAGTCTGCATCTGATTATCTCAATGAATAGCCATCATCCCGACTCGAGAGATCATTATTGTGCTTCTGATGGCGTCGTTTCACTTCACTTGGACACCGAATTTCGAATACATTCTTCACTGATCCAAAAATGGGGCACGAAATAACGGACCTTTTAAACTGGCATCTTATCATCTTACTTTTCTCTTCCTAAGTTTCCGGATTCCTAGTCTAGAACTAGAAGAGAAGTTTCCTTCCTCAACTCAATCGAGGACTTCCTAGAGGGTCGATGTAATTGAGCTCGACTGAAAGGAACGAGAGCAAAGAGAATGGAATATGGAATCCGGGTGGGATTGGATTGTTCTGAAGCTCAATCCTATACTTAACCTTGAGTGCTGCCTCTCAACAACTGGCCCTAGGCTTTCCTAATAAATACTCCTCTTCTCTTACCAAGTCGAAGCCAGGGATTGTTTAATACTTCTTAACACGTGGAACACTGACTTTAAGTCGTATTTTTTTCTACCTTCACCTCACTTCTTGCGACCTTCTCTTAGTTCATCCAGGATCTCAGTCTTCTTTCTCTGCTAGTTGTTCAACCGGTGTGGTGTTAAGGTTTGGTCCTTGATTAAAGAGAGTTGCTCTGCGAACTCTTCTTCGTCCTGCTAAAGCACTACTTGCCCAAGAAAGGGCTTACGCGATAGTACTAAAGCAGTCTAGCTTTCCAGCAGTCTTTTCAAGAAGAAAGTCACACCGCTACTAGTATTCTAACAGCTACCGATTCTCACCCGGGTCACTTCACTCCGCCTTCAGTTTTAGAACGTGCCAATTTAATGGGCGCAGGGGCACTGGACTGACCTCAACAAGAAGAAAGAGTGGTGCTCAAGAACTAAGGATGTGGTTCATTACGCTTTTGTTATTACAGCCAGCTAAGGTATCATCAAACTCTCGATGGATTCTATATTCTGTATATAACAAGTGGTGGAGTTTCAACTCCCTTTCTCCGTGACTCAAGTGACTATTAGTTTCACTGATCAGAATGAGAATAGGCCCTCATGTACCTCAGTTACATAGGCCCTCATGTACCTCAGTTACAGATGCTATGCTTTTGATTAGTCACTTTCAATCCAAATAAAAGTGTACCTCCTGAGCGAGACTAAGCACGAGACAGCACATGCTAGCCTAAAGTCTGCTTTTGAATCGAACTTCTTTTTACTTGGGGGAGAAAGCTTCTTCATCTATCGTATTATTAGTTGTGTCGACCCGGTACGGTGAAAAAAGAATCTAATACCTTCCCTCCGAAGTAAACAAAAAAAAAAAACCATTAATTCAATAAACCGATACAAAATTCTTAATTCTTAATTCTTAATCTCTCTCTCAAAGAGAAAAGTGAGCGGAAAAAAAAAACAGTAAAGATGGTAGCTCGCCAATTCATCATCAGCCACAACGACTCCATCTTCGACGTCGATTATGACACCGACGACGGCCTTGATCTTCGACGTCGATTATGACACTGACGACGGCCTTGAAGTCAGTCTCTCACTCTCGAAAACACAATTCTCTCAATTTAAATCAACAGTAGTGTTTGTTTGATTGTTATGGCTAATATTGCAGGATTTTAAGAACCAGCTTTTCTATCTCACTTCAATCCCTCCTCATCTCCAGAAGGTTTTTGTTGTTTTGTTTGCGTCGTCATCAACACTTGCGTGTGTGTGCTTTTCTTTTTATTGGTGTTTTTTTCTGTAGATCACCGGAGAAGATGATGATCGGGTCGTATCGGACGATTCTGATCTCACTGGCATTTCTAACAAACTCAAATTGATAAAAATCAACGAGGAAGAGAAGGAAGTCAAGGTACAAGAGCTTGCAGTGAGTGGACACAGTGAAGAGTTTGGGCGGAAAATACGGCCCTATATCAGTCGAGTTCAAATGGTAATTTCAAATTTTGAGGTTGATCTTTTTGTTTTTCTTCATTTGTTTGGTTACTGAAAAAGAGATTTGAGTTTCAAAATGTTTCATTTTGTTCTTCCCAATAAAATTAAAAAAGGTATTTTTTTCAATCTGTTCATTCAACAGGAAAATAGCGTGCAATCTATTTTTATTTATTTATTTGTTTGTGATCGATTGTTAAATCACTCGCACACTAGATAGGGATAATTTCCAAGAGAGTATTTATGTAGTACTTGGCCTCTTGTTGATACAGTATGAAGACCCAGTGAGGCAGGAGGCAGCACGGAAGACGGTTCCTAGAGAAGAGCTTGAGGAGAAAGCTTTGGTTTCTCTGGCAAAGGTTTTTTCTTTTTGTATGGCTTTTTGTTTTTGTTTTTATTTTTATAGTGATGAGGAAGCTAAACATTTGAGTCATTGGCTAAAGAATAAATGCAGAATAATGCTAATGGAATTTGATAGACGTGTCACAATGAGTATAGAGGTTTTGTTTCGTTCTCTATCTTTTTTTGTCCCCTCATTGCTTGTAGAGGCTCAGTCTCTTTTATATAATAATCATGCAGCTAAAGTCCCTCTGTTTTGGTTGTCGAGCACTTGTGTTTTTTATGTTTTGTTTTTCCCGTTATAGAATATTGTTTATGAACCTGAACTCAGACTCACCTTGATTTCATCACCTTCTTAACCTATAATATTATATATAAAAGTGCATTAGGGTGTCAAAACAGTTAGTTGACATAAAACCCTTCACTGTTTGATTAAATCATTAAAATACCCTTGGACAGCTTTTAGCATAATAAAATTCTCAGTGTAGTTTGTCTCACATTTAATTATTAGATGCATTAACTATCCAATCAAATATACCTTAAATATTGCACCCACGGCATTAGCCTAGCGGTGGCCGGAGGATTTGCTCCTTCCACTGCCACAGGTTCGAGCCTTGGAGTTGTATGTCTGTCAGCCCCGCGCTACCTTACCTGTCTGCTGGGTTTGCAGGGTATTCAGTGGGTCGTGGGGATTAGTCGTGGTGCGCGCAAGCTGGCCCGGACACCCCACGTAAATCCAAAAAAATATATATATATATATATATACCTTAAATATTGCTCGCGACTGGAGGCTTACATGGTCGTTAACTTCAGGGTTCATAGGATTAGTCGTGGTGCACCCAAGCTGGCCCGGACACCTACGTTAATCTAAAAAAAAATATACCTCAAATACAATCTATAGGCTGTAAACTTGATTAATTGTGCTATCTTAGTATCAAAACAATTTAGAACAGCTATTTGGACCTGTGTTGAACTACAGTTGAACAGAACAAATTAAGTTGGACAGAAGTTTGGTATAAATATGGTATATTCAAAAACATTCTCTCACACGCATCACTCATGGTGGGCGCCCGACTGCAATGGAAATAATATTTAAAGGATTTCTCGCATCGTTGTGGTTATCTTGATGCTCAGTAGAACTATTGGCAGCAGTATATTAGTAGTCGTAGTTTTTTATTTACAGGTTTGTTGGATGGAAAACTTGGAGACCTCGGCTAGTTTTATGATTGTCTTGCAATGCTGACTCGTGTTTTATCCTCGTATTTTTTTTTTGTTTTCAACTGCAATTTCTTATCTACTCTTATATTTCAATGTGAATTGCAACCACGTCATAATTGGAATAAATAAGAAAGGTGGTTCATGTTGATCAAACTGGTTTAAGGTGTTTTAATAATTTCACCTCTAGGGTTTGCTCTGCTAATATGCCATGGTAATTGGTAATTTTATAAATTTGTTTTAGGAGGGGAACTTTAAACCATCAAAAACCGAACAAGACCATGCTTTCCTGCTGCAGCTGCTTTTCTGGTTCCAACAATCATTCAGGTGTTTTTCATTCCTTTTCTGTTTTTACGTTGGATTTGCCCTTAAAATTAACAAAATACTGCTTAATAAATAGTCACATATCCCAGCAATAAATACTTGCACAACTTACAAGTAAGCACTCCGAGTAAGGAACTATACTCTGTGTAAATAGACTGTTTTCTTGTGTATGTTATGTTTATAGAATGACACTATTTTCATAGGAAGATCATTTTTAGGACTAGATATCTCATGTTATGAGTAGCACCAGAGGATGGTTCCTCGTTGATGTAACAAACTCTTGAGCAAACATGGAATTTACTTTTTTTGCTTTATGATGGCAGGAAAGTGTGATTAAATTGATAGGATCTTAATTTCTTGGATATGGCCTTTATTTGCTAGAAGTTTAGGATGTATTGAGCAAGGAGGAAACAAGCATCAATGATTCCAACATATGAAGTTTTGGAAGTATTTAGTGGTTCTGCTTCAAACTTCTGCAACAAAGTTTACCTCTTATAAAAGAGAAGGCTTTCAGCAGTAAGAAAGCAGCGGATGGTTGCTGTTCTTGCTCGACACTTTTTTGTTTATTTTCCAAAGAACGCTCTATCTATATTTTTTTTTAAGTTGGTTCGAATCTTTTGCATTGTTAAGTTTGGTGCTTCTTATGCACACAATGCATATATGTGCCGATGGCTTTATATGTCTAGAAATCTTGATTCTCTCTCCAAGTTTTCCAAAATGGTTTTGAACCACAGTAAGTACCCGAGATGCTTTCCTCATCTAAAGGTTTTAAAATGTTTCCTTGGAATAGTTATGTGAATGTATTTGTTTTCCAACCACAAACAGAATAATTAGTGTTTAATTTTCAATCGAAAATATTTCTTTTCTTGTTTCTTACAACAGGTTGCCAGCAGAATTAAAAATGTTGCCAATGTATGATTGCCATCTTCTGATATTGTAGGTGGGTTAGTCAACCTCCTTGTGATGGCTGTGGCAATGATACCGTTAAGCAAGGAATGGATGCTGCGCTTCCTTCAGAAACTCAATATGGAGCAGCTCGAGTTGAACTTTACCGGTAGGCACCATGTCTATATTTTTCGTTATTTTTGGGTTTTTTCATAATTTTTGGAATTTTATTTTGTTTTCTTTTTAATCTTATATATTGTTTCTTCATGATTTATTTAGACTTCCTGTTTGATTTATTTTTCCTAATCACTTGTCCTCCTAGCCCCTAAAAACTATTCCCCAAGTTCAGGTCTTGTATTTAATACCTTTGGTTTGTAAGCTTGAACATGTATTTTATTCTTAGTGATGTTTATTGTATCAAATGATCTCATGACAAGTTACTCACTTGTATAGCCAGCTGTTTACTTGATCAGCGCTGTGTGTATTGATAACAGTTTATATGGTAGTCATTCATATATGGGAATTTAAAAAATTGTAAGCTGTACAGCTCTTGAAATTGATGTTGCATATCAAAGGGCAAGTCTGCACCGTGGCCAGACCTTTCTTCTTTTTGCCCCCTCGCCCATTGTTTATAATTGACCAGAAAATTAAACTCAGTTCCATCCCTACCTGTATCAACATGTTCACATGACATATGGCTGTTTTTTATTTGAAAAGATCCCCCCGCTTCTTGCTTATAGTTTGTAAATAGTGTTCTATTGAGGATCTCGTTGTCCAATCTGCTTTATTGATTCTGGAATAAAATCGAAACTAAATAGCTAGCTGACATGTGTGATACTAAACAGGGAAGTGTGTGCAACACACATCTTTGTTCTGATGATGAATAGCAGTCTTGGGTAGATTGGTTTGCCATGATTATTTGGTTTTCATTTCCTCCTCTGCACAGAAGCATATGTTCTCATGTTCATCACCCCTCACTTTTTTTTTCTCTGTCATGGGAATATCTCAGCTGCAATTCTTGTTCAAGAATTACCCGTTTCCCACGCTACAATGATCCATTAAAGGTATTTTTACTTAAGCCAATTGACAAGTTTATATTTCATAATCTCCTTCCCTGTTGTCTTATTCTTCTTTCTCCTCTTTCACCATGTAGCTCGTGGAAACTCGAAGGGGTCGCTGTGGGGAATGGGCCAATTGCTTTACTCTTTATGTAGCTCGTGGAAACTCGAAGGGGTCGCTGTGGGGAATGGGCCAATTGCTTTACTCTTTATTGTCGTGCTTTTGGCTATGAATCTCGTCTGGTAAGTCAGTTTCTGTAATTCAAATACAACACCCAAATGGCAGGATCTCACTTTGGACAGACTATGTTCTGTTAGATCAATCTTTTCTGATGTAAAGACTGAATGCAATGATAGAAGTCTACCTGGGTTCGGTGAAGAACAATAAAGTTTTCTGTTATTTTTCTATATTATTACAAAACCAAAATAGCTTAATATATGGGCACTACCTTTGTTCTACCTGGGTTCTGTGAAGAACAATAAAGTTTTCTGTTATTTTTCTATATTATTACAAATTCGAAGTAGCTTAATATATGGGCATTACCTTTGTCTGTTTTCAAGGTGTTTTGAATGTAGTCAAGAAATTCTGGTGAAAACTTGACACATTTTCATTGGACTAGAAGATAGCTAGACTACTTCTTGTGTCTTGGAATGTATTTGGGCTCAAAATCATGGCTTCCCATACAATACCTTGTGAAACGTGAACTAAAATGAAATACTTTGAAAAGGTTGTTCCCCTTTATCGAGGAATCTCTTGTTTTCTGGATGTCCTCAAATGGGCATGCTTGTGTTCATGCACTGTAATAATGTGGAAGAATTTGAGGGGGCTTCAAATTTTGTTTTATGAAAGAACTTGGCCATGATGAAAGTCAGTATATGACCTTTTCCCATATTGTGTTTGATCAGATCGTGGATTTCACTGATCATGTTTGGACCGAGTGCTTTTCTGAATTACTAGGCAGGTAAGCTTCACTAAAAAAATATAAAAATGATGTCGTCTATTTTCTTCAAAAGCATTCTATAGAAGTAAGAGCTTGTTTGGAAGTGTAGTTGTTGCTACTTTTTAAATAGCTTTTCATGTCAAAATGTATACCAATGATATTTTTTTATTTTTTAAAAATTATTTTTGACATCATCAGCACATTAAAATGATTTGAAAATAATAAAAACATATTAATTTAAAATTAATAAAAAAAATTTAATTTTTTTCAAAAGCACTTTTGAAACACAAAAACAAACAGTCCCTAATAATTAAGCTAAACCATGCTCTGTCATGGTAACCGTCATTTACATGTACTCTGTGATGTTATTATACAGATGGATGCATCTTGACCCTTGTTCAGGAGTGTTTGACAGACCATTACGATATGAGAAGGGGTAATTTTTTACTTCATCTATGTGATCTACATGTATGCACATGGGTGCCTACTGAATGATTTTTCTTCTGCCCTGCTTCAGGATCTTCAGTAGTCTATTTTGGCTCTGAACATGCTTTGTATAAATCTGATTTCATTCTTTTCTCGTAGGTGGAATAAGAAATTGAACTATATCATTGCTTTTGCAAAAGATGGAGTTTATGACGTCACTAAGCGTTACACAAGGAAGTGGGTTGAGGTAATTTTAACTATTGAAATGCCATTCTTTCATGTGGGTTTTTCCATTTCTTCATGCACAATGTTATGTTCTCTTATGTTGAGTTCTCGACCAAAAGAATTTCTAAATTTGCAGGTTCTATCCCGACGAAACATTACCACAGAGCCTGATTTGTTGGCTACTCTCCATAGCATGACTCGAGAATGCAGAAGAAGCTTTCCAACTCAAATCCTTTCTGTACTTGAAGAGCGTGATAAGATTGAATCAGAAGAGCTTGAGGGATCTTTATGTTCCACTAATGATTCTTCAGTCTCATTGCCTAGTAGACAAAGTGGGAACAGGGAATGGCGCATTGCAAGATCAGAAATTGGTTTTCATGATAATTGTTCTTTGAGTCATACTTCATGTCCCATTCGTGTATGCGTAGATGAGCATGTGACAAAGACTTACAATGCATTTTCCCCGCTCCTTTCTCGTTGTGTTGACCACTCTCTTCCCAAATCAAGAATTGTTGAAATACTGAAGATATTCGAAGGAATTTTGGAGGAACTTGGGAATTTGTCCTATAAAACCAGGCGAACTTCCATAAACCTTTCTATTCTTCATTTGCTGCCATATTTTGACGAGTTAATAAATGCTCTGTCATTGAAGAGAGAGATTGATACTGATGGAAAAGTGGACATCTGTTTGGCTGCTGACCCTGTCAGCACCTCTTTAGGACTGCCTGTTGTGTTGGATGCGTTGGATGATTTGATCAATGTTCTTAACAGCTTTGACAACATAAGCAAAGTTTCTCTTTCCTGGCCGCTAATAAAGTTGAATAGGATCCATTCAGGTTGTGTTCGTGCAAGTGGCGAGGAACTTCCTTTTGGAATTGTGAGTAGTATCCAGTTTCTCTAGTTGTCCTACTTCAGTTTACTTTTTTGCTCATATGTAGGAATTCTCCTAAAAGTTCCTCTATCATTCCACTTTTAACACAATTTCAGGCCACATCAGCATTTGATGGACTTCGCACGTCTAAATGGGAAGAACCAGATGGTGCGAGAGGTAATGTACATCATTTTTCTATGGAGCGAGAGGTAATGTACATCATATTAGAAAATCTTGTGATGTTGAACTATTAATGTTTGATACAGATCCTTCCATTCTGTGCTCTCAATGTACTGTGCTTGGTGTTGTCTTGTTGAATTGAAAAAAATATGAAAATGGCACGTGTTTTGTTGGTGATCATAGACTTTAAGCCCGAGTAACCATGGATGCAGATTTGGTCTGTTGAACACATCTGAAAAATCAAAGCTTGGAATATAGATGCCTAAGTTAAATTTTCTTGCGTTTCTCAGTTGTTTCTTTGTACTTGGCATGAAACAAATGTTGGATTAATGTTGATGATCCTGTTGAACATATCTGATGTATTTTAACAATGCCTCTCGTAGGTTGCTGGATTGTTTATAAACTATCAGACAACCAGATGCACAAACTAGTGGCATATGATATAATGTCAGCTAATGATGCCCCAGAGAGAGACCCTATGGACTGGTAATATTCTATTAACAACCATCTGGCGCCATGTGAACGATTTCTCTCTGCATTTATTTCATAGTTCTCATCTGGCGCCATGTGAACAATTTCTCTCTGCATTTATTTCATAGTTCTCACAACTACATGTTTGTCGCAAATTTATATGTTATTCGCTTTCATGATTTCTGGTTGTTTTCTTAACAGGGTTGTCGAGGGTAGTCATGATGGTGGTTCTAGCTGGCGTATTCTGGATAAACAAACTTCTCAGATGTTCAAAGATCGTTTTCAGCGTAAATCATTTAAGATTAATTCAGATAGTGTCCCATGCATCACTTTCAGGTAAATCCTGTTGATCCAAACCAATTTACATGCACTCCACATTTTAGTTCCTCGTGATCGTTGATCTAACAAGTTATAACATGACAGATTCCAATTTCTAGCTGCCAGAGACGTTCAATCAAATTCACGCCTACAATTGGGTAGCATAGATCTGTATGCAAGCAGCAATTAAGTTGTATAAGAGAGATTCCAATGTGCTGACGCTCTGTTCCAGACTTTGATGCTATTGTATAACTTACTTGGTAATAAATATTTGTCCATAGAGGCAAGCAATCACACAATGCTTTGCCATATGGGTCACCGTATTTAGTCAATATGTATTCATAATGACCCAATTTCTGGGCAGTCTAGGTGGTTTAATTTCAGCAAATTTCATTGTCTTGCCTAGACATACCGAATCAAGCGATATGTAGGATGTTTGAATATGTAGGATGTTGGAGTGATTATTTTTGGTTCGGGTTTTTATAAAAAAATAAATCAAATTGGTTTTTTTAAAATAAAAAAAAAATTAAAATTGATTTAAACCGACTGGTTTTAGTTTGGTTATTTTTTAAAAAAACTGGTTTAAATTGTTTGGTTTTATTTTTTAATTTAGTTTAGTTTTTTCCAGTTTGTCTTGGTTTTTCTGGTTTGGTTCTGTTTTTTCCAGTTTAGGTTGGGTTTGGTTCAATTGTTTTTATTTCAGGTTTATAAAATTAAAATCGAATTACTTGGTGTTTTAAAAATTTTAATAATTTTTTTATTATGGTTATGTTTTTCAATTTTTTTTTTCTGGTTTTCTTAATATAATTGATTTTTTTGTTTTTTCACTCAGTACCTATCCTAAATGGCCATGGACAATTTATCATTAAACAAAAAATAAAGAAAGGGAGCCATGTTCAACCCGTGTCCCAAAAAGTGCAGCTAGCAATTCAAAAGGAGTAGCTTTAGCACATTGATCATGCTCTTCGTCAAGCCATTTCTTGATTGCTGAATCAGAGAACTTGAACGTGTCTGTGACCATTTTCACCGAGGGAGTTTCTGCATTGCCGTTAATTTTTTTTTTTATTTAGGTGGGTGTCCGGACTAGTTTGTACGCACTATGATTAATCCCACGGCCCACTGAATATGAAGTAAACTCAGTAGGCATGTAAAACACTACGGAAATGATAGGCGTGCACATAAAAACTCAAACCTAAATATAATAAAAAAAGATAAACTTCTTCCAGACTAGAATTCTTGATGCTGAACAGGGGTGGGTGCTCAATGGGCTCCTGGCGGTGACTCTCAATCCAGGATTTGAAGAGTATAGTTATGGAAGTTGGGTCTGGATTCATGTGTGAACAACTTAGCCCAAAAGCTACACCTCCTCCTTCAAATTCGTTTACCTGGAGATCCATAGGTGAGAAATTAGTTTAAGCCATCTCCAGAGTTGGAGGTAAGCAGATATACATGAAATCAAACGTGAAAAATAGGAGAATTAAACTATATATTTGACGTATCTTGTTCATGTAAACCAGACTCATACGTTGTATGAATTTACTTCTACATTAACCAATAATTAATGCATGAACTAATTAAATGGACCAGTTTCATTTAATAATTTTTCAAGGAGGACAGCATGCTAAATCAGAACAAGAACTAGGAAGATAACCTAGCTTAGCAGAAGTTGCAGGTTAATCCAATCTAGAGTTGTTTTAAAACTGTCGGCAGATTAAGAGTTTTTTCCTTTCTTTTTTTTCATTTCAAAAATATTTTTGAAAAAAATTATTTTTTTAATATTTTTGAATCGTTTTTACATTCTAATATTAAAAATAAATTTAAAAAAATATTATTTTAATATAATTATAAATTAAAATTAAATATTTTAAAAAAATCACTGTCACAATATCAAATAAAATATAAAATTAAATGATAATTAACTTACAACTAGATCAAAATTCAAATAATTTTTTTAAAATAGTATTATTTTAATAATTAATAATTTAGATTAATTTAATCAAATCAAATAACTTTATATTTATAAAAAATTAAAAGGTTTATTGTATGTGAAAAATCAATAAGCAAATGCCTAAGTGTTTAGATTTGTTTTTCCTTAAAAACAATCTTCATCAATTTCTACATAGAATACGGTTTTTAGATTCAAACTAGTTACATGACCTGCTTCAGGTCAATTTATTTACTTAAAAAATATTTTAAAAAAAATAAAATTTAAAAGTATTAGATTTTTTTTGTAAAGTTATTCTTAAAATTCTTGAATTTAATTGCAATGCCCGACCCAATAGTAATATTTATAATATTAATAATAACATTAAATTTGCATGATCCAAGTTTAAGTGGATCTGACTGCAATATCAAATTCAATAGTTTTAGATGTGGGTCTGGTTGCAACATCATATCATGAAAACATGATGATTAAATAGATTAATTAAAAAAAAACCTAACAGAAAGAAAAAATCTAAAGAAGAAAACAAAAAAAAATTTGAATTAACTGGGTTAATCATTCAAACTAGTTTAACATATCAAACCTTAGATTCGTATTGTGAAAGTTTGATAACTAAATAGAAAAAAAAATTGACGAGTTAACATGGAATTAACTAGGTTAACCCGTCAAACCCGAGATCCGTGTCATGAAAGTTTAATAACTGAATAGAAAAAAATAAAAAATTAATGAACTAAATAAAAAATTAATTAAAAAGGAGAAAAACAAACAAAAAAACATCAATCTTTTTACCTTGGACTCACTATGCAGTCCATAATCAAAGGCATAAAAAGGGAAAAAAAACAAAAAAAAAAAAAAAAACTAAAGGCATAAGTTGATAACTAAATAGAAAAAAAATCTAATATTGATGAACTAAATTAAAAAAATTAAATAAAAAGAAAAAAAACTTATAAGAAGGAAAAAGCAAATGAAGAAAAAGAAAAAAATCTAAATTAACTGGGTTAACCCGTCAAACTTGAGATTCATGTCATAAAAGTCTGATAACTAAATAAAAAAATATTTAATATCAACAAACTAAATAATAAAAAATTAATTAAAAAAAAAGAAGAAGGTATCAATTTTTTTATCGTGGACTGCACTATGCAGTTCGCTGTGAAAGACATGAAAAAGAAAAACTAAAGGCATACAATATTAAAAGATGAAATCGGAAGAACAAAACTAATGAGAAAAAAGAAAAAAAAATTGAATCAATTGGGTTAACCCACCTAATTAAGTTAACCTGTCAAACTTGAGATTCGTGTCATGAAAGTATAATAACTAAATACAAAAAATATTTAATATCAATGAAATAAATTTTAAAAAAAGATTAATTAAAAAGAAAAAAACAACAGGAAGAAAAAAATTAATGAAAAAAATAAAAAAAATATAAATTAACTGTGTTAACCCTTCAAACCAGGTTAATTAATTAAATTTGGGATTCGCCTCATGAAAGTTTGATAACTAAATAAAAAAATTAACGGGTTAACCCAGAATTAACTGGGTTAACCTGTTAAGCCTGAGATACGTGTTATGAAAATCTGATAATTAAATAAAAAAAATTAACATTAACAAACTAAACTAAATAAAAAAATTAATTAAAAAGAAAAAAGTAAAAAAAAAATCAGGTTAACCTGTCAAACCAGGTTAACCCGTCAAACATAGGATCCATGTCATAAAAGTTTGATAACTAAATTAAAAAAAATTGGCATTATCCAACTAAATTGAACAAAAAAATTCATTAAAAAAAGCAAAAAAAAAACCTATAAAAACATAAAAAATACATTATAGACTACAATATAAAACACTAAGCAGTTTTAGTACAGGATATAATAATAATAATAATTATTATTTGTCCACCAAGTGTTTCCCTAACTTACATTCTCTGATATAAAAGGCCAAGGCTTGATGTATTTGTTCATTCACCATGAATTTTTGCTCTTCAAGAACCAAAAACAGAGGGCAGAAGAGAGAGGAGACAAAGTTGAAAAAATAAACGTGATGGACATCCACCAACTCATTTCAAGCAACAAAAGTTAAGAAAAACAAAAGAAATGAGAGTTAAAACAACGCGTGAGAAAACATGTGAGAAAAAGAGCTTTAAAACGAAAAATACTATTAGAATCCACAGTAAAAATAGAGTAAATATATAGTATTTTCATGAGCATTTTTAGTTTTTTTTAATTAATGAGACATAGCACGGAAATGGAGCAACCCAGGTGAAAACTTCAGCAAGCAAGAAAATCATAGGAAAAAAAAGAACCTGAATTCAGAAGGGTGACCATGTCCTAGGTTCCTTGGAAATTTCCTCCCAAAACATTAAAAATATATTTGTTAGTATGATAATAATTATTTTTTAAATGCTTTTTCATATTAAAATATATATCAATAATATTTTTTTATTTTATAAAAATTATTTTTACCACACAATCCAAAACATATAAACTATATTAAATCTTTTATCTTGGAATCATCAGCTGATCTTAGCCATTCATCCATGGTGGCCTCAACTTTTGCTCTCAAAACTCTAACACCAGCATCATTGCACTTCACTAACCAATTACCCGCCCCCCTCGGGTCAACCGACCCGGAACTTGTGGGTACAAACAAAGAACCTCTGACAAAGCAATCCTTAAGGGATCTACGTCAAAAATCCCAAATGGGTTTTTCTTGTAGTACTAGAAGCTTGTGCAAATGTAGACAGGCTAAGCCTTTGGGATTTTCCACAATCCCTTCATTTTTTTGCCACCCTTTGGGATGTGACACAATTTTGAGAAGAAAATGTTATTTTGATGGCCTTTGATTCCTGCAATTTGGAGGACAATATGTTCCTTTCCTTTTTAATAATCTCACAAGTCTCCTACATGTAATTAATAAAGCTTAAATAGTAAAACTCCTCTAGAATGTGAAGACATGAGCAGTCATATTTTTTTATGACTCAAAAGAATCTATTAGTCCATAAATTCTTGGAATTATAAATTAAAACTGACCACTAATTATCCATAATTATGAAGTTCATAGGAGTAGTAAGCAGAGAAATAATTAAAATTTGACAAACTATCCGCCAGACAGAAGAACATAATAATTAATTAGCCGTGGAGCCATATTTCAGAAAATCAATAGAAAAGTCATTCTTATTAGAGGTCATCATTTTGAATTTATTTTAATTTTTATTAAAAAAATAACTAAATTAATTTAAAAAAAAAACTTAACCAAAACCGGTTCAAATCAATCAGTTTCAATTCATTCAAATTGGTTTGGTTTGATTTTTCTGTTTTAGACTTATAAAACCAAAATTAATTTTTAATTTTTTTAATTTTCTCAATTTTTAAATTTTTTGTACCGCCCTAGTCCTTAAGGTAGAAATTGAGAAATGTCACCGAAGTTAACTTTTATAAGTTACTAATAATTCA